ACAAAGAAAAAAAATCAACCGACACTCGAGCCCGTGACCTTCCACAAACATGGCGAACGTCAGCACATCTTGACCACAATGGAATGGTGGTTTAAGCGTCCAGAAGAATCTGTGGTTCTTCAGCAATGACATGTGCCTTACTTATTATTACATATTTATTTTTATTTTAAATTCAATATTGTTCATATATTCCTTAAACCAGATTTACGTTTTTTTTTTATTGCATGGTATATTATGACCCAGAAAATAAAATATTTCCACTGCTAAGTAAGTGCCACTTGTTACTGAATAATAGCTATGCAAAATGTATGTCGGACATCTTTGGACGCCATTGTGAAATTACTATAAAAATTTAAGATTTAATGAGCCATAAAACACTTTGTTTAGAGAAAAAAAGCAGGAACTTCAAAAGGAATGTACATAATCCATTGCTTTGTTAAGGGATGTGCCAATTTGTTGCAATGACCTTTGACCGTTTCTGACATCATTAATGATATGTTTGCATAACCCTTGATAAAAAAAATGTAGTGGTACTGAACAATGATATTTTATACTTAAAAATGCATGTATTACGGATTTAGGATAAGATATGGCTACCGTATCTATTCTACCCCCACCACCTTGCTACTATATATAGAATTACCTTTTTTAGGTAAAAGGTCATAAAAAAAATTTCCCCATGGCCGAAATCCATCCAACTTTTTTTGGTGGTATTGCAGGTCGATATCAACAGTTTCCAACAAAAATGTTGTAGCACTAATTTTTAACAAGCGCCATGAGTTCTCCCCGAGCTTCCCGAATCGTCCTACGAATTTATGCTGAATTAGCAACTCGGCAAACTCTTCTAACTCGTATGCTTAAAAAAAAAAAAAAAAAACACTAGTGGGAGTTAGCGTTATCAAAACTTACTTACTTTTTTTTCATTAAACTCTGTCCGCACATACCGCACATATTAGTTTGCATAATAGTTTTTAAAAAAAATCAAGACTCTTAGATACGCCACAGGACATGTACCGTAAATCCTCGAATACGCATCACTCTCGAATAAGCGCCGCACCAAACATGGTCGCTTATTTCCAGCTTATTCTATTGAATCGAGAGTACATTTGTTTAATAACACTTTGAGAAACAGGATTTTAAATACAATGTATCCAGTGTTTAAATGAAGAAATACTGCAACACAATGAGGACGAAAGCTTACCTTTATAAACGTTTATTTACAAAGATGTAGGGCCTATGATTTGGTAAGATAGTTAACATGCGAATTAGCACCCCACTGAAGCCTCCACAAATGTTGCAAGGGCAGCGGCGCTTATTTGAGGATTTACGGTATTTTGTGATTTACGGTACTGTAAAATATGTTTATACACATAAGACAGCCACAAATTTCAGATTCTTTTTTTTTTTTAATCACACTACAAAATGACAATGATTATTTCAAATAATCTCCAAATCCTTATGCTTACAGCCTGGAGGAAACAAACACAAACAACGCCATGAATGCAAATACAAACATTGCAAGCTGACCAGTGAATAACTGGTCTTAACAATCACTAGATTTTTCCCCACTTTCTAATATTTCAAATGCAGAAAAAGTCATTTTATTGTGTGGGGAGGTCTAAAAGTTGGAACATAGAACCTCGAATTAGGTGATATTAAAGGTTAAATGTAAAATTTAATCAATCAGTTATGCAAAACCTTGGTGTGATTCCATCTTCATGAGATGGATAATCACCAGTTGGTAAAACCATGAAATTATCTAAAGATAGTCTGATGGTAAAGAAGTTATTTTTGAATATACTAAGAACTGCAAAAAAAATAATTAGAAACTATCATCACTAAACTGTTGACTGAGATTTATCAAAACCATAAATATACATAAATTATTCCTGAATCATCAATCAACTTAGTAATGATTCGGGGTTAGTAACTGCATTGCATATTACTACTAAAAAGTCAAATGCCATGATGTTCAAGGCTGCTCATACAGTATGTCACTCCAATAATAATAACACACATCAATTATGTTTGTGTACTCAAACTACAATAGCTTACGAAAGCGATTAAGATTACGGTTATGTCATCAAATTTTTAGACAACCCTTTCACTACAGTAGCATATTTGTCACAACGTATGTGAAGCAATGTATGCATGAAGCAGGGACCATATTCAGCTTCTACAGCATATATCAAGAATGTCAATGATGATGATAATGAAGTTTTCTTATTCATTATTGTTTTTCGTAAGGTTATGAAATCTCTCTAATAATCTGAGCATACCATTACTTCCTTCCATCACCAATTAACCAGGTTATAAAAGAGAATTCTCACTTCTTCAGATATATGAAAATTGGTTGTTTTTGAAGGAACTAATACAAAAAATATGAAAAGTTACCATTTGTATAACCCAAATAATTGGAATTCTCATTGTGGTAAATAGCAAAAACTGGGACTCTATAGTGGTGGTGCTTCTTTGAAAACTTTAGTAGTAATGAACACTTATGTTTTAAATGGAACATAAGCATACCCTGTAAAAGCATGATTTATATTAATAGACACTTCTGCCAAATAAATATATAACTGAAATTGAGATTTCCATCAGCCAGCATCTAAACAATTTTTTGTTATTCTTGATATTGATAATTAAAAGTCTATGAATGTTTTGTTAACAATCGTATTGATAATTAAGAGTCCACAGATGTTTCGTTACCATTCTTATAATTAATCAAACTTGTGAACCTTCTACTTCATTATCACTCAACATAAACACACCACTGTCTCGCAACTTTTCTGTACTTCCACTCAATAATTCTGATTGGATCTTATCTACACCATCCTTTTTCTGGACGTCAACTGAGATACAGGAGCGCTCCATATTCATTTGTGTAGGAAGTGATCCAAATATTTCTTTTATTTTATTCATCTTTTCATCAGCAATACATAAACACCTTTCACTACTAGTTTCCAATGCTTCATCATTAGTAGAAACACTATCTGACTTTTCATCTGCTTGAAGAGAACACTCTCCATTAATAGTTTCTGACGCTTCATCATTAGCAGAAACACTATGTGATACCTCATCTTCTGGAAGAAAACACTCTTCATTAATAGTTTCTGATGCTTTATCATTAGCAGAAGCACTATGTGACTTTTCATCTTCTGGAAGAATATGACACTCTTCGTTACTAGTTTTTGATGCTCCATTAGTAGAAACACAACGTGACTTTCCATCTGCTGGCAGAGAACACTCTTCATTAATAGTTTCTGATGTTTCATCATTAGCAGAAACACTTAGTGATACCTCAGCACAGATTCCAAGATCTTTTCCCACATTAAAAACATCTGATTCATGTTCATTTATAATATCACAATTTTGTTCATGGTGTATTTCATAAATTTTGTTACTCGTAGAATCAGAAACTTTTGACTGATCCTCAGAAAAATTACCTTGGATTGGCAATTCTGAATTCGTAGAATTTATATAATTACTAATATTGTTCAGTTGTTTTTTTTCTATATCTTCAGGTTTCTGGATGTCAACAAACATACGAGAGTTCTCTACATTCATTTGGGTAGGGAATGATCCAAATATTTCTTTTATTTTATTCATCTTTTCATCTGCCGGAACAGAACATTCTTCAGTTCTGGTATTTAATGCTCCATCATTACTAGAAACACTTAGTAACTTTTCATCCCGAAGAGAACATTCTGATGTTTCATCAGTAGAAACACTAAGTGATACCTCAGAACAGATTCCAAGAGTTTTTCCACCATCAGTAATACACAATTCATGTTCATTATTAATGTAACGATTTTGTTCATTGTCTATATTTACTTTGTTACTTTTAGAATTAGAAACTTCTTTCTGTTTGTCAGAAGAGCTATCTGGGAAATGCAACCCTGAATTTGCAGAATCTGCATAATTGTTAATGTTCAAGTCAAGGTGCATTTGTTGTTCTTTGTCTTCAACATTACAGTTATTTTGAACCATCTTGTCAGCAATAATATCAAGAACATGTTCAACATCCTGAGGCCGCAAATTCGAAACAAATGCTTCTTCTTGAGTATCTGGAATGTTCTTCAGATTTAACTGGTTCTTGTTATCTTCACAACATGGCTCCTGAGACAAAATATCAATTGTGTTGGAAATTTGAAAGAAAGTTTCATTTTCATTTGACATGTTGACCTCTTCATCCTGCTGGATGTTTCCAATTGGAATCCAATCAATTTGCTCTTGTGAACCAGATGTGTTGCCATCCAAGTCTGACAGTCCATCTAAAATTGCCGAATCATTAATAGATAAGTCTACATTCATCAGATTATCATCACCTTCTTCTTCATTATTTTCATTTTCTTCAATGGAGACCATATCAGCAAGAAAGTCTACAAGGTCATTGTCTAAATTACTTTCACCAGTCACATTGTGCAAATCTCTGTCATCTGTGTCATGTTCACTCCCACTAGTACTGCATCCAATATCGAGTAGTGCTTGGACAATGTCATCAAAATCAGTTTCACCTGCCATGCGTTCTTCCGGGCGGAAAGTAGAGTCTTTTTTCAGGGAAGCGGCTATCTGGGAAATCTGAGCAGAAGCTGACAGTTGATCTTCCCTTTTGGGTGATTTCTTGCTTTTGACTTTAGAAGCCATGTTTAATCTTTCTTTTGTCAACTCTTTATTTTCTTCCATTGACTCATTTCTTTTTTTAGCCAAATCCTTTTCAGCTTCTAAAGAAGGATCCATTCTAGGTCCAATAACATAATCATGATCAATTGGAGCAGCATAAACAGGACCTTTTTTCTTCTTTGACATAAATTTTGGAAGTCCTAGATAACAATGATCGAGTGCAACAATCTGCTGGGTAGTTAAGATTTTTACATTCCTCTTTCGGCTACATTTTCCATCTTTCATCTGTAAAATTTTCTTTTGAAGAAGTTTTCCTTTCTTTAGAAGTTTCTTATTCACATCTGAATCCTTTGACCTGTTTTTCCTCCCAAGTCGTAATTTTAACTTGTCAATTGTAGAGAGAATTGTGTCAACATGAAATAGATCCCACTTATGTCCGCTGTTTATCCTTGGTCTTAGATTTGATGGTCTGACTCTGTCCTTCACCGGTGATGATTCTTGATGAGTTTCGTAAACGTCAATATCAGAATCACTTTCTTCATCAGTGACAGGAAAACTTGTTCTATTTGGCTTGGTTGGCTTTACAGTTTCCTTCTCAGATTTAAGAACAGCATTAGTCTTTTTTTGTGATTTGGATGTCTCCACTTTCTGTTTTTTAAAGGCTTGATTATTACGAAGAGCTTTGTCAATATCTTCTTCATAATCTGGAAATTCTTTTGGTTTACTAATACGAGAGGTCCTTCTTGGTTTTTTGATATTATCGTCCACCATATCTTTTATTAAATGTTGCTTAGTGCCCACTATATTCACTGGAAATTTTGGAAGGAGAACAGACCGGGGAATTGCAATCATATCCTCATATACTCTCTTTTTCCGATTCCTTTTTGTTGGTTCTGCTGTAATACTATAATTGGCAGGGCATTTCACTTCACTGCCACATGTAATCTCATGTTTATTCTGTCTTGGTGATAGCTTCGGCACAAGACCAGAATACATACTTTTATGTTCTTTGTGTGATTCCAGGCCAGAATACTTATATCTGTGTTTTTTATGTGAATCCAGTTTCACATAGGGTCTCTGTGGTACTTTATGTCCAACTCTCCTTTTACTCTTTTTGTGTTTCTTTTTTTTCTTGAATTTGGTGTAAGTTTCATCATCATGATCAACATGTTTTCTCTTTTTCTTTTTATGCTTCCTGAAAATTTGCAATGCGGGTATTGTTTCAAGTACTTCTATCTTTTCTAACCACTTATCAGTGTTGTTATTCATTTCAAGTCGTTTTTTGTTTTTTGTGCAGTGTTTGATCCAATGGAGTGCCATTGTTCCAGCATTTCTACAAGATGTTTGACAATGTGGACAAACAAATAACAATGGGTCATGCTTTTTTCTTTCCATATGATGTGCCACTAAATGAGAAGTCAGATGTCTCTGGTTGGAAAATTTAGCACCACAAGTAAATGGGCAGTCAAGGCAATCTTTAGCACAAGTGCTGCAGATTGGATGGTCAAAGTTTCCAATACCGAGCTTGGTTCCACACACAGAGCAATACTGACCCTCTTTACACTCTGCACTCTTTGGTTTGGTTTGGTTTGTCAAAGGTTTTTCAACAGCATCTGCAGCACCACTATCTCTGTTATTGGGAGTTGGTGTATGTTCAGTATTCATTTTAAATTTGTGCTTTTCAGCAATTTTCGTTTTTTGCTTTTCAGCAATTTTTGTTTTGTGTTTTTCAGTAAGATGTTTATTCAAACCATGAGATGTAGCAAAGAATCGAAGACAGAATTGACATTTCTTCATCCCACTTAAATGCTGCTTTATATGAGTCTTGATGTCTATCCCAAAAAGACCATCACAAATTGGACAATTAAAAATAGAACTGACTCTGTCTTCACAATGGTTCATACAGTGCATTATATAATCCAAAAAATACTGAAATGATTTTGGACATTTTCCACAAGTAAATTCAGTCTTGTCATTGTGATCTTCCATATGAGCATTTAACCTGTGAATACTAGTAGAATTACTTAAACACTTGTGGCATCTCCAGTGCACATTCAACCAACGATCTGAAGGCATGTTGTGGACATCTTCCGTGTGTTTTTTCATGTTTTTGACAAAGTGAAAACTGGCTGTACATTGGTTACACTGATGTTTCTTGTCTGTCTTCTCTGGAAAGTGATCCTCCATATGCATCCTAATAGTTTTAAGTCCAATAAATAATCTACTACACTTGCATTCATAAATCTGTTCATTGTTTACATCATAGTGGACCAACAAATGGTTTTCAAGATTTTCTACCAGGTTAAACATCATCCCACACCAGGAACAACGATTCCACTTTAAATCCTCATGTGACTCTTTATGGCAATCACATGCCTTTTTCGAAGTGAAATTCAATTCACATCTTTCACAACTGAACATTGGTAAAACTTTCTCTGTTGATAGATGGATAATCACATGCTTATTAAGATCTTCCATGCTTGAGAACACTTCCAAGCAGTTGTCACAAACATACATTTGTACCACATTACAAGTGCAACCACTATCACATAATTCTTTAAGATCCTTTTTTGTGTCACACAATGAATCGCTCAAACTATTATTAGGGTTAAGGTTATTAGGGTGGTGCAAATTATTGCTAATTTTGTCAACTTCGTCCAAGACAATTTGTGGATGTTCACTGGTGGATCTTGTTCTTTCATTACTGCCATTTGCAACTGTTGCTGAAATTACTAAACTACTCAAGGTAGACACCTTGTCTGGAGTGCATTTTTCATCATTATTTATCTTCTTGTCACAATCTTCACTTTGATTACTTTCTGAAGTAGAATTTGCAGGGAAGGTATGAATATTATCAGCTTCATTTTTTAAAATGGCAGGTGCAGTTACAATATTCTTATCATCATCAAGTGTCTTGTCTTTTTTTTCCAATTCTTTGGTTTCCACACAGGAGCTATCATTACATTTGTTTTCTATATACTTTTCCTCAACTGGCTCTTTACCAACACTTCGCATTTCTAATGTGGATCCATCACCTGAAAGTTGTTTAGAGGATTGAGCTTTGTCGGAACACACAGGAGATAGAGTTCCTTTGACTGGCATTGTCTCATATTTAGTCTGATCATCTCCATGTACGTCACTTTTTTTTCTGTTGAATTTGTCACTGACGTGATTATGTATACGCTTAGTAATTGACAAGAGCTGGTGGAGTTTTGTATGTAGCTTACATTCCTCTTTGTATTTTTGTACACCAAGATCTTCAAATCTTTGAAACTGAGAGTTCCAAAACTTGAGGTACTCTAAGTGAAGGCTTCCACTTCTGGGAATTGTAGTATTTTTTTTTAAGTCACTGCTCTTAATATCATCCATACTGTTTGAAATGTTACTACCGCTACTGATTGTTGATGAGGTCTCTTGTTTTTTGTTGGGAGTCAAATAAGGAACATTCAATTTTTTGGATTCCTTGAAGAGTTGTGAGCTAGCAATAGGTGATATGGCAGTTATATCTCTTTGTCCATCTTCTGAAGTTTTCATCAACAATGGCCTTGGATTTTTGTGTGTCTGCATGACTAGAAAGGGTAGTGGTGCAGCCTGTCCAGGCACAACTCGATTAATGAAAATCATCGGATCTTTGAATTGTTGAACTGGTGCGTAACAAGCAGAAGATGGTGATGCATTGCTAATCAGTGAAGGTGTGGAAAGTAACTGTAGAATTGATGAAGTACTTTTGGAGATGCAAGATGGTCCAGGATCTGACTTCATATGATTTACTGAAAGGTTTGTTTCACCTTCATTGCTTCGCTCATCATGTTGAAATGGTTTTGTATTAGGCTTTTTCTCTGATGACTTTTTATGTTCTGGAGTACCATTATTGTTTGATGGCTTATCTGGTGGTGAATTTGAGTCACTTGATGAACCTGATCCTTCATCAGGTTCTTCATCATGTAAGCTTGCTTCACTCAAATCTTCCTCATTATTAATTTTCTTCAGGACCTGTTTACAAATTGACGAGAGCTTCTCTGGTTGGTACACAACTTCCATCTCATCATTGCCATGGTCATTTAAATTTTCTCTATTTATCTGCTTACCATTATTGTCTAGTTGTACATTTTTATTATGGTTTTCTGTGCATTTAGTAATGGCAGAATTCTGACTCTTTTGCAATAAAATACTCTCACTTAAATTGGAGGATGTAGTCCTTTCTGGATTCATTTTGGATTTGATTAGATTATCATCAGTCATTAACTCTTTCCTCTTATCAATTCCTTGCTTATCTTCAGCATCTACATCTTGTGGCTTAGGTACCAAAGGAATAGTTGAAGATACTGGCTGAGATGTATTTGACTGAACAGCAGGTGAGGGAGTTAAACTAGATACAGTTGAAACTGGAGTTTGAGATGTTGTACTAAGATTCACAGTATGTGGAACAAACATGACATAGCCCTTTTGTAAGCCAGGCACTGTCACTGGTACCATCAAATGTCTAACTGATTGTCCAGCAGATACAGACTTCACTTGATTTTGAGTTACTTTTGCATTTGTCAGTTGTGACTGATTTAGAATGATTGGACTTCCACCAGAGGTAGATGATGTTTGATTAGATGCACAGTTAATCTGGAAAACTTGTGACTGTGAAACTGGTTGTGCATTGACAGTTGTTACAGGTGAATTCCCAACGACAAACTGTGTTTTGCCCTGAGAAGTTGGTAATAATATAATATTTGAATTTGAAATTTTTACACTAACCATGTTGCTTGGTGGTTGAGTCTGTACTTGTTGCCCTGTAGTGCCTTTGTTTAAAATTGTTCGGTTGGAAGTAAATGGGCCTACAAGTCTAGGTGGCATGGAGATTGTCACACCTTGTCCCTGTTGTATCTGACTGGAAATACCTGGTTTCAGTGTTGGCATTGCAATGGAGGGCTGCTTATTTGAACAATGTGATAATTCTGGCATGCTTGAAAATGTTGATACTTTTCCTTTGGGTTGCATACTTGGCCCATGCTTCAGTGGAGGTGGTGGGGGTGGATTAGTACCACTCTCCTTTGCCACAACTTGTAATTTTGTTTCCTTTGTATCCTTTGCCCTTTTTATCTCCTCTTCACATTGAGCAATAATGTTTGGCAGTTCTTTATCAACAGCTTCTATAAAGCTTTCAACAAACATATTCCAGAATATTCCACTTTCAGATGTTTTCAACAAATCATTCACAACAACTTTAATACCATCAGAGTAAGTATTAACATCTTTAACTTTTTCCCATTTTCCAAGAACTTTTGCTAATTCTTGAACAGCCTTCTTCATTTCTACATCAGTCAAGTCAATTACAAATTGATTCTCATCACTTTTTGTTGGTTTATCTTTTTGATTGCCCATTCTAATAGGCGTACAGAGAAGCAACTTCCGCAGGGCTCTTCCAAAAGGAAAGAGCAACCATGGACGGAACTCATTATAAAATGCAAAAACAGGTATTCGCTTCACCAGTAGAGTGGTAGATGCAGTATACCCTGGATAACCACTTGCCATGCCTTCAAATACATTTGATGAAACATTGTCAATGGGTTGAATCTGGTCAACATTCACATCTGCATTGATCTCATTTCTTGAGACTTTCTGGTCAACAGATGTCAGCTGTTTTCCACTTGATTTTGCTTGGTAAACAAGTGATGGTAGATCACTATCTATTGCACCTTTGATGACATTGGAAAGAATTGGCGATGAAGGTTTTGTCTCAATGATATTTTCTTCCGTAATTTCAAGTTCACCTTTTGTAAGGAGTTTCCATCTCTTAAAATTAGTTGCATCAAAGGTGACTATGTACTGAATGTCCTCACAGATAATTCCAGACACATTATCAATTTCTTTGCTTGAACTTTCCTTGAAATTATTCACAGATAACTCAGAACTGTCTTTTAATTGCTTTACCCAAGCACCAGTCTTTGCATCTAAAATTGTTTCATGTTTTTTGTCATCATTATCAGGAACAGTTGTAATCATCACATCCTTGTTAATATCATCTTGCTTTGTAAAGACACCAGTTTTGGAATCTAAAATGGTTTCAAATTTCTTGTTTTTACTTTCAGAACTTATATCCTTACTGTTATCAGTTGTTTCAACATTTGCTTCTTCAGTTCGGTTTTCTATTTCTGAAAGTTGGTGATCTTCATGTTTTTCCAAATCTTGTATAATAGTTTTTTTCTCTGGGCATTCTTCTGGAATACTTTTCTTTGGACTGACTTTTGGAGCTTGGCTAAGTTCATCTTCTTTTAGGTTAGCTTCTAAATGATTTTCTATACTTTTATCTTCAAGAGAGTTTTCCCGTTTAAGATCATTCTCAACTGTATCCATGCACAATTCTTCCTGTGACTTGTTTTCAATGCAAACTTCATTTTGTGGTTTTAATGTTTCTTTGTCATCCTGCAACTGTGTCATATCTTTCTCATCTGTATCCATGCACAATTCTTCCTGTGAATTGTTTTCAACATCAACTTCATCTTGTTCTTTTAATGTTTCTTTGTCGTTCTGCAAATGTTTCATATTCTCATGTGTATCCATGCACAATTCCTCCTGTGACTTTTCAATGCCACCATCATTTTGTCCTTTTAATTTTTCTTTGTTATCCTGAAAATCCTTAATATGACAGTCTTGAGATCCACTTTCAAAACACACTACTGTTTCCTCATTATTTGGCACATTTTTCTCCATTGGAATTGGTTGGTTAAATTGCTGGGCTGTTGTGTCATCATTTATACTACTACTTTTTGCTGTAAGGGTTTTGCTTCCTGAAAAAAAATATAATTCATCAATATAATAAGTTGCCTGATCAAAACAAATATTTCTGGCTTAGTTTCTACTATTGTATTCTATCACTCATGGCTTAGCATATACAATAACTCTCAAGATGATGAGCATGGTTTTGTGATTAAGACAATTAACTGAAAATCACAAGGCACTAACTGCAATCCTGCCAAAAACTCACAACCTACATCCAACTCCTAAGCCTCATTAAGAGATTTTGGTTGAAACATTGGAGATCATAAAAGTGCATATTTCAAAAACACATAATCACAAAAATCATTTATATATATTTTTTTAAAACTTTCATGAAGATAATTTATTATTGTTATATTACACTTTAAAAAATGTATTTCTTTGCATTTATCTAACAGTAAGAGATTAAAAAAATAATATAAATATGAATGTTTTTAGTAATGATTAGGGTAACTATGTAAAATAATGCAATATACCAACATACCATTAATGCTTGTTTTCATCTTTTTTCTTTTCTTTGGCGGTTTAATGTTAAAATGTACATATATAGTCTGCAAAGCATTCTTATCCACCTGCAGTTCATCTGCATATTTACGTTTTACACCTTGCTCCATAGAAGTGGCAACATGGTCTGCACCTGATGTTACTTCTTGGTAGATCACTACATTTGTGTTTTCTTTGGGGGTCTCAATAGCTTTGATAGTGTCATGTAGTATTGTGGTCTGTCTTGTGTGATGTTTAGTGGGTGTTGAGGAGAGGCTGGTTTGGTTTCTTTCATTTTTAACTTGACAAAGAATTCCATGTTGTTTTAAGTACTGTAAGGCTTTCTGTTTCAATTCCATAGGTGATGATATTTCTGTAAAATCAACAAAATCAATCATGTTTAGAATTATTTAAAATATTATAAACAACAAAAGAAGTGACATCTTGTCAATATTCTAGTTTCAAGGGTTTTCAACATTTTGAATTCTTTGCATAATCATTTTACAGGGAATGGAACTGTAGTTAAAAGTTAGGCACAAGAGGGAAAAATATTTTTGAACAGTTAATGAGATAAAGATTTTCGAATATTTAAAAAGGTAGGTAACGCCCCTTTCCCCCCAGTTATTACATATAAAAAAATATGTATTTCATTAACAGTTTCCCAGTCTTTTGTCGAACAACTTTTTTCGGTCATAGAAAAATCAGTTCTACAACATATCACTTATTTTTATCTTCCTGAGCCTGACTTGAAGACCTAACCTCTCACCTCACAGGTTGGAATGCCCATCACTCTTTTCTTGTAGTAACATTCTTTTTGGTGAAACTACCAAAGACAAGCACCAAGTTTAACTGAGAAAACTTTTTCCAGAAAGAATAACCAGGCTGTCTTTCCTTTCCTGAGAACACACCTCCGATGCAAACAGCATAAATCGTAAAATCTTCTTCCGCTTATGCAAAAATACCGTCCGCTTTGTTAACTTTCACAGAATGCGACTAGATTGACAAATCTTACTATGCTAAAGCATATTGAAACAAAGGCCGACTAAATTAAAGTTACCCTTGATTGGTCAAAATTTATCCAACGAGAACATAGCCTCAACTTTGTTCTGGCTGAAAACCCAAATATTGAACTCAGCAATCTTACAACGGGCTTGTAACTGTAGAAAACTAGGGATGGGTAGTAGACATTTTAAGGGTGGGTGATAACAGTAATAACCTCTAAATAATGAAAGTGGATTTTAAGGATGGGCAAGAGGGATAATAAAAGTGGGTGTAGGGCCATGAAATTAGCTTTAAACTGGGTGGAAAACTTCAAGACTGGGTGGCCCCACCCACCTCTGCCCCCAATGAGTACATCTCTGCTAAAATATTTCTTATCATACCTTCATAATCTTTCTCCACTTGTTGGATGCTTATTTTCTTGTCAACTGCTATCAGTCGTATACCAATCTGCTTTAGTATGTCGCTAACTTTCTTGGCCTCAACCTTACTGGCAGCTACCATAAGTTCAGATTCCATGGCTTTTATTTCTTTCATGAGTTGTGAACTTTGAAATGTTGGACCAGCTGTTTTTGCCACAGAGGGCTTTATTGCAATTGTTGAAGTTTGAAGTTTTGGTTTTAAAGCAGGTTGGTGCTGTACTTCACTCCGTAATGGCGTATGTATGACATTTGCAGGGCTGATGAAAGATTTTGAAACAGCTGAATGTCTGCCAAACAGTTTTAACATTTCGTTCATTAGCTTTTGCTCGTTGATTGAATCCATCTGTTTCCTAAGATGCTCTACAGCTTTGAGTTCTGCTGTCTTGAAAGACTGTCTTCTAGAAACTGCAATCAAATACAAATGACAAAAAAAAGCAACAAAATAAAATTCTGTGAACTTAATTAGAAATAAATAGGTTTTGAAATACATTTCGGTAAAGGATATTGAAAGTAGGGAACCTCCACTATCAGAGAAAAAGGAATGGAAAAGTTGCAGAATTCAAAAAGCTTGAGGCAAAAATAGGCAAGATATTTTTTTTATACACTGTAAAGGTGTTAAGAAGACTAAAAATAGAATGAAACAAGTCTTAAGGAATGTGATGGAAGCGAATCTATATTTCTAACTTTTTTAAAAAGATAAAATATAATACAGTCAAACTCGCTTAAGTCGACAAATTATCAAAGTCGAAATATTTTCATGTCACTCCATCTTCCCTATACTTACATGGTTAATATTTGCTCTCGAATAAATTTAAGTCAAACATATTTTACATGCCAAATTGATCTGTTTCCATTGATTGTTATTCTGTAAGTCGAAGTCAAAATCTTGATGTAAAACTTCAATAATTTTAAGCTGCCGCTGCTTTACCAACATCGCTGTGAACGTCAACAAGTGACTCATATATTTGGCCATTCAGAAATTCTCATGCTAAGTAAGTCCGACAAGTGACTTATGTTTACATTGCATAGCGGTACTTTGTGTAGTCTAATTTACATGCAACTAAACTTACATTCCTCACTATTGTTCAGACATGTGCTAAAGCCGACAAGTGAATAATGTTTAAGCACTGTTTCAGGTTTTGTTCTTTTTTAAATACAGTAAATTAAATTATATTGTAAGATACGTACAGTAATTGTAAAATAAATGTTTTATGGAATTTAGGTATGGAATAATCCGCCATATAAAACAAATGCTAGTTTTAATTTTATAATTAATCTTTTTATCTTAATCCCGATCTTCGTTGAATATAAACTATCTGCAGAGAATTGCCTGCACGCGCATGAGTAGTGGGAGATTTTTTTAATGGCCCATTTTGCGGCAGGGTGTGCACATCTGGTTTACTTACGATTAATACATGTGTTGAAATATTATATATTATAGACTTTCACCTAGTAAGTATTGGTTTGGTCTTGGAATTTTCCAACCGAATTTATCGTATTTAAAACATATTCGCTCGATGGTCATGCAAAAATCAGTTATTAAATGTTAGTTTATCAAATATAAATATGATTCAGATTTAATTTAAGTATTGATTGATTCCTCTTTATCTGTATTCAAAAGAATGTCATGGAAGCAGTTAACAAAACATTTAAATATACTGTAATAATTTAAGAATTAATGTAATGTATTGCTACTTGAAAGAATACTGAGCGTTTCAAGGTAAGTTTAGGTAGCCTAGGCCTTTACTTCTACAGTACTAGGCCAAATGTGTGGTCAACAACGTGCGTGTACCGTCAGTGCGTGTTAATTTGTTCCGGTCTCCGTAAGACCCAACTCTCCAAGTCAAGCTGCTAATGTGATACAACTCGAATAAAATTAGACTTTGCTTTAGTCGAATTTAATCGAAGTCGAACTATATTTCAGTGGCACTTTAGAGTTGGCGTCGACGAGTTTGACTGTAAACAAATGACATAAATAATCACTATGGCTGGCTTGCATCCAATTCTTCAAAGCTTGTTTGTTCTATCTACACTTATAAAAGTTAATGTGAGAGATTTGTGATGTGTCCTTATATGTACCCAAATATGGGCATATCAGTTTATTTTCACATAAAATTTGATAATGTGAACAAAGCTTTATTGTTTAAGCGAGACTTTTTTTATTCCTTGTTTCGCATACTTATTTTTTTAAAGATCATCCGAGGAGGGTGGAATAAATATAAATATACAATTTTGTTTTCTTATTTAGCAAATAGTTTTGCCAAAAACATCCAGACGGAGGAGAAAATAGAAATAAAATTTGATTGGTGAATGTAAAATAGGATGGTTAAATGCTTCAAACTTATGTAATTAGGAAGAAATATACATATCTTATCTTCGGAGATTTCAAGGCAGCGGAGGGCGTAATAAAAATTAAAAAAAACTTTTTCTGCAATTTCCACTTTCTCATGGCGGCGGGTGCGATAATTGGCCAAAAATAAATTTTATTTTTATTCGAAATCATCAATATTTGCAGTCGGCGGGTTCCCTTAACAAGGTATAAAAAACGGTTTAACCTTATGACTGTGAAAACCATGTTTACTGACAACAAAAATTTAGCTTCCAATCTTAAAAATGCACTTTACCTTCCTCTTTTAATTTCTTTCCAGGCTTGGAAGAACAACTATCCATAATCACAGCCTCGAAAAACACCAGCGTTACTCTGTTCAGAGTCTTGTCTGCCTTTGTCCACTCCAGCGACTTAAGGTGGTACCTAAATTTCTTTGACAGGCTCAGCAACAGGGACCGTTCTGCTGCATCCGATCCCTCATCTTCCTCTTCACTACTGGCATCAGACTCATCTGACGTTTCCACTGGTGGCATGTCTTCTATAATATCAAAATGCTTCAGCATGAGGTCAAGTTGAGACCAATCTTGTTCCTGAAGAAAATGTTCTTTGACATATTGTAAAGCCTCTGTTTTAGGTTCTTTGGTACAATTTTGTTCAGTTCCTAAAAGGAAAAAAGGATAAATATACACAATATCTGTCATTAATTGCTATGCTTTCATGATCAGAATGATAAATAGTAACAATACCCTTGTAAATGTTGTAGTGAAATCTTGCATGTACGAACGAGTCTAAAATGTATATGAACTGGATGAGACACTTGAACATTTAGTGCTGTTATTAAGTATATTGCAATCTTTCTATAATATTTTGTCACTTCATATCTGACATTTGAATGTTGTGTTGTTTATGTGGATTTTTTGATGTGCTTTATTGTTTTTTATGCTTTTTTGTAATGTTTTTTTTATGGAGAAATCGGAAATAAAATAAAATTATTAATTAGTAATTGACCTGCTAGTTTTAAGGTGTCTAGCTTTCCATTTAATATAGTGAAAGAGGTTCAAGTTACATACTTTCTTGCTTAATAGAACAATAAGATACGGCCCTCTGAAATAGCGAAAATCTATTTTCGAACAATGTTTCGGGGGATTTTTTAGGGCATCTAACATTCTACCAAAATTTGAATGCTATTTCTTGAAAGAGGGCCAAATTATCAGTCTATGTAGCAATAAATCTTTTTATCTTCATTTTTTTTAGAAGATATAGCTCCATAAAAACCATACAAAGTCAAAGGAGCCATTACTGGAATGAAAAAGGGGGCGTGGTACCTAAATTTCAAAGGTCATAACTTAAAACCCGCTTGGAAATTGAAGTTGAAATTTTAGATTCTTTCTTTTGACATAAAAAGGTATTTTAAAAAATTTTTTAAAGGAAAATACAAGTGGGGGCCGAAATGACCTGACTGCTAAAATGGCAACCACTTAGGTAAAATATATGGATACGGTATCAAATTGAAATAATAAAACTTAAATGGTGCCACTTCTAAACACCATACTGTACAGTAGAAAGTATTTTAGGCCTCTTGGGTGTAAAAAAAAAAAAAAAAAAAAAAAAATTGCCAGAAAGAAAAACCAATTCTAGATTTTGAGTTAGTTGGCTTTAGCCAGATTCATAATAAAATACTGGTCTCCCTCCAATTAAAGACAACTTCTGGGAATGGGGTTTCCATGCTATTTAGCAATTTAGAAAAAAATAAAAAATAAAGAAAAAAGACATTTCTTGATTTTAACCATAGAAAATTGGTCTTTACTTGGAGATGGTCATTAATTGTAGAGTTTTTTAATTATAGGGAGACCTGTGGTTAAAAAATAGATAGCACTGGCAACAAATTATTTACCTTTTCGGTCGACAGACACAAACACTCTATCCTCATCAGCAGTCCCCACAAATGTTTCATTAAAATTTTCAGTAATCTTTTCCAAAACCCTCATAGCATTGATCCAGTCTTTATATCTAAAAAATCTTTTCAATTTTCTACCCATAGTTTGAAAACTATCTTGTGAGGAAGAGCAATTGGATTTGTCGCTCCCTTCCTGCATTTCGTCATCAGAATCATTTTCCGAGGCATCATCCGTCTCCTCCTCTGAATCATCTTCAGAGTCCTCCTCCATCAGTTGTTGGCACTCCTGCAGCCGATTGTCCAAATCATCATCACTTTCGATGTCAATTTCATCATGGGCAACAGAAGGCTTCACTGCATTGGAATGGATCGTATTGCTTAGTTTATCTTCAACTAGACCCCTCAGTTCAACAGCTTTTTTTAGTGCATCACTCGCTGTGGAAGTTGATAAATCAAAAGCATGTTCTTTCTGCTGGGATTTTACCAGACTGATATCCAGTTCAGGCGAGAATATACTTCTTTTTTCTAAACGTGTAGGGTCTGGATTTGCCAAAGTAGGTTTCCCATCAGGAAAATGCAGCCCACATAGCTTTGAGGTCACGGAAGGACAAAATTGCTTCAGGTCCTCTGGCATCGCTTCCCTCACAAGACGAAGCCATATCATCCTCGGAACTGGTTGCCGATGCAGGGATGGGAATGGAAACATTGATGGACGCCATTGTTTATCGCCCATTGAATATACTGTTCTTTTGTCTGCAAATACACAGGTAGGTATTATGCAACAGGATTTATCTGTTGTATCCAAGTTACAATCCAGCTTAATGTTATATTTATTACTTGTGTATCGTATCGTACTTTTTCCTTCTGAAAAGAAAAACAATTAAATTTTTAAAGAATTCAGTTATAACACAAAGAACAATTTTTTTTTATAATCTAAGGAATTGAAGCCAGGACCTCGAGATTAGAATGCAAGCATCTGAAGCTATATAACTCCACTGTAATTTCTTGGATTAAGCATATAAGCCAATACACTGAACACAAACCTTTGCCAATTTTTGGTGGGCTTAAAAATCAGGACCAATAAAGACCTACAACATAATTAAATGCAATGTATATAAAACATTAATTAATTAGATGACTCAACTGCTTACATAACTGCATAATCAACTTTTTTAACATGCAATGGAATCTCAAGAGGATTAAGGATACCTCTGTTTTATTTTTCCCACCCTAGCTTTTTAAATTTACTGAATGAGACAAAATGAATGTTTTTAAATCAAGGTATAAAAAAAATTCACTTTGGATGCATGCTTCACATTTTACAAACTGCCAACTATCTCTACAACCACTATTTGGAATTAACAGAAAAAAAGTAT